CCTGGCAGCTTAGTAACGATGAATAAAATAGCACCACACCCTTTAATTCTATACACTGCACAAGGATGATAAATGGCCTACACGTTTGGAGGCGGGAAAACCAAAGGATTAGATTGAGTTGGTTAAATGTTTCCTGAGGAAAGTTAGCCGTGTTAAAACAAAATGAGAATCAAAGAAGCGATTACAGTTGTAATTTTTCATAATTTATTGTACATTTTTGTTTCTTCAATGATCTTTACGCAAACTAATAAACAGTACAACATTTCCATTTATACAAAATATAAACTATAAGGGGGAATTGTAACATCAACCCTTCCAATATGGTTTCACATACACTCATTTCCTGCACCTAACCGTTGGATGAAGGGAGCAAAGGTGTCAATCAAACCCTCATTGTAAAAGACCACAGCTCTTTAAAAATCACAAGGCAAAACTGACACATCGTGTGGCAACTTTTTTGCTACATACATCTCAATGACATTTCTAATAAAAAGACTGAAGAGCCATTTTTTTTTGTTTTGTTTTGTTTTGTTTGTAAAACCAACTAAAGAGGTCATCTGGCTCATACTTTTTTCTCAAACCTCCTACTGCCAAACTTTAACAAACAAAACACATTGTGATATTGATTGCCAGGTCGATTAGAAGCCACAAAAAGAACCTCTGTACACTCAAGTGGTCCGCATTTCAATCGAGACACGTGACATGAAAACCCGCAGCCCTGAGCATCTCCAAAATGTGATGGCATGACTAAGGAAATGCAAGCCAAAAAGGGAAGCTGGATGCACCACTGTTCCTTTTGAATCCATGCAAGGGGCTGAAGGAAGTTGGATTGGTGATGATCTCCTGCTATAGGCTAAACCCCCCTTTGTTAAAAGAAATGTCTTGACTTACATACTTTTTAGCATTACTTAAGGAGGACGTAGAAAGGTTGCAGAGCCCATCCATGTTAGTCTTGTGGTCTCTGAGAGAGGCTGGACTGCATGGGATAATGGGGTGGGAGGTGAGGAGGAGTGTTGAGGCAGAGAAGATGGGGGCTGTGGGCTCCGGGCTTCAACAGTAGCTTTGGAGGAGAAAGGCTGCCATGATGAAGGGGATCAAGAAAGTGAAGGTGCATGTGTGCAGTGAGACGCCCGCTCCAGTAGGGGAGGTGGAGTTGGTTGGACCGCCAAAGGTGTCTGTGGCCGTAGTAGTGGTAGCGTTGTAGGTGGAGTTCCCCCCTGCTGTCATAGCTGTGCTGTTGTTGCTGGCTGCCATTGCAGTCCAGGAGACCATCTGTTGGAGGAAGGAGAAGTAGAAAAAAGAGGATGCAGAGTGAGGAATTTATTTTTCCAACAAATGTAAACTTCCCTCAGGCTTTTTGACGAACATTGAAATAAGGAAGTTAGATTCAAAAGAAAAAAAACTTTATGGCAAAATCAATTAATTAAAATGTAAGTCTGTGTTTACAAAAAGTTTTCTCTTGCAACGCTTTACTCTTCTTTACAACATAGCAGGATTGGTTAGTGACCAAGAAGAAAAGAGAGACCAAGGTTCTGTGCTTGAGTGTCATGTTTCCTATGGCAGACTGCATCTAAAAGAAACTTTAGATTCTTCCTCCACCTTTGCATAATGTAGACAGCAAGCAGCACCTGAATCATTAATCCACCCAAACACACACTCATCAAGAAGTAAAAAGTGAAAAGGGGGAAAACATACAAATGAAAAAAGGACTATAGTTTAATGAACTAAAGATACGCCACAAATTTGGAAGGTGACTGACTCCTGTTAATTTCCCAAGAGATCTCCATGTCTAGCCGGCTGTAATCCAGACTATCAGCCGCTTTATATAATGTCTTAAAACACGACTAAAGTTAAACAAACTACACAACTATTTTTCACCCCCATCGGTGAATAAAAACACAATCCCCCAAGCCCTTAAAAAACCCACTCCCACCACTCCCTGCTGACTAAAATCAATCCCACAGCTAAAATGCTGTTTAAATGTAACATAAAGATCATTTTACCTGTGTTGATAAACATATGGCGAGCAAAACCACTCCTAGCTGAACATTCGTCATTTTGCACTTTTTTTTTCTTTGTAACCTGGCCAGATGGTTTACGATGCTCTCAGACGCTGCCTCTCTCTAATGTGGAGGCTGGATCAGACAGAGCTTTTTATACCAGCTGCAGGTCTGTGACGTTAAGGTCCCTAGCGGTGTGCTAGGGACAACGCTAGGGAGAGTGTTTTAAAATGTAATATCATAACCTAAGGTAATTTGGCCAGCTTAAAACGAGCAATAATGGCTCGTTTTAAGCTTATTATAAATACAGTATTTTTGGAGAGGTGGGATTGGCGCGCATGCTCCGTCCCGATCCCGAGTTTGCCTACTTTGTGTGCCTGTGTAAAAACCTTGCTCAGCGGCTTGTTGAACATACTTCGCTTTTACCACCACAGGGAACAAACTCTCTGAACACTTGAATAAACCTCCACACTTTTCCTGCATGTTGCCATGGTGACGGGCTGCTGATGGGGTCGGGCTGCTGATTTGGGCTTTCCCTGATTTTTGATTATTGAGATGTCTGTTTTGAGCTGAAGAATGTGGTGCTTTGTTCAGAATTTTACTGTTCCCGGAAAAAAAAGCGAAAAAAAATTCAAACTGATAAATGAATAGTGTCCTACCTGTTGAGCAGTCGCTGCACGTTTGATAGAATAAGTGTGGCAACAGCGACGCCTAGTGTTCAGGGTAAAAGCTTTCCCTCATAGAGGCCGTGTCAGAGCTTTCAGAAAAACTATTAAATATCTGGACTTCTCGAAATTTTGTTCTAATAGATAAAAAAAAATCATCTATCTATTTATTGCATTTTTGTATTCATTTTGTATTAAGTTATAGACTATAGAAGTTATTAAGTTATAGTTATAGACTTATCCTCCTGTTGTTTCACAGTATATATATATATATATATATATATATATATATATATATAGTCAGTTTTTGTTGCTATGGCTGTTGTTTTGCTTCTCCATGCAGAGTAAAAGTAATGCTGGAATATCTATATAATTACCCTAACTGCTTAGTCAAATGTGAATATAATGACAAATTTAGTCATTTTCCATGGTACAAGTCAGGCTTGTAACACAGATGCCCCTATCATGATGACTATATTTGCATGTAATTTGATGCAGGGAAAACACCGGGCTATATTCACTTGCACAATTATTCAAGACTAATGGGTAGACGTCGCCCTCTGTCGGCGAGGACACACCACTAAACCACAAGGGGGATCAAACTTTTATGTCCCTCCATTAACGCTGAACACAGACACCAAAATTGTCGTTTTCTAAATTGCAGGGTATACGTTCGCTTTAATCATGTGACCGTGCACGGTAATGCAAGTAATGGTACACAAAGTGGACAACTTTTTATGATTCGCTCCAGATGTTGAGGATTGTAACTTTAGACCTAAAGACTTTCTCTAGTCCTCTGTCATTTGTGTAAGTGGATTCTTTAGGGAATAGTGAGGCGCTCTTATTCCAGCTTTCACCCCCACCAGAGGAACCTAAAGGGACAACGCTCCCTGCAGAGGCACCAGATGTGCGCTGTTATGGAGAGCGGGGCGGCGGGGGGGGGGGGTGAAGCAACAGATAAGACCTTTTCCCAAAGCCGGGACGGATCGAGTATCATCATCGGGGGCGAAACCCAAACCGTGCGCAGTGGGTCGGATTTCTGTTTACACGAGCGTGGTCCCTGGATTCCTCAAACCAGAGCAGACCAGAGGTAAACTCGAGACAAGGAGGGGGGAAAAATTGTGAATTATCCCTCTTGTCACGGCTGTGTCTGTACCTGTCTGTCTCTCTACACAGAGCTCGGCGACACTGTGAGGTCTGCGAGACAGAGGCTTTCAATGATGCAGAAGAGCAATGGAAACCCACTTTCCTAATGTAGGCCATACTGCACTGTTAATGGACAAAATGAGGAGAATTGTAGTAAAGTTATAAAGTAAAAGTTGTTACAGCTAACGAATTGAATTTGTTTATGTGCGTAATGCAATCAGATAACCTCAATGCTTTCATTATCAGCAGAGAAACTTGATACGGAAATAAGTTCTTTGGCATTCGCATTAGCGATAAACATGTGGGAAATGTTTACATTCATCTGTGCGCAGACATACACGAACAAACGACTCTTTTTTGTGTAAATCCTGTCCTCGGGCATTTGGCACTTTTCCTCAAGCCAAGATTGCTCAGAGGCCAAATGTGGACGTTTTAGGTGTTGCGCGCACACGCTCGTACACAGACGGGCGCGGATCAGACGGATGCCATTTGAGAAAACTCCAAACATTCTGGTATCTTTTTTAACTCGCAGCGCTCTTTTCATCTCTTTATTTTAAGACAAGAGTCTAGAGACAGTGTTTGTTCTGTGCCCCCTCAGATAAAACACAGTCTTTGCATTCCTTATGAAATGTATCTGTTGAGATTTGGGAGGGGTGGGTGCCAGGTGTTGGGTTACATCAAATCAAAGCCCTCCCCTCACAGAGAGCGCACGAATGAGACCGGTAACCAGGCGATGCACCTTTCATAATAAAAGCTGAAGGGGAAACATTAAGTAACTGATAACATATAATTTTGGCAAATTAAACTTTACAAAACAAATGACATAATAAACCTTAGTAGGTTTTGAACAGAGTTAATGAGCTTTGAGAGAGCACCGTGCTTCCCATCTTTCATTACAGAGTCTATGATGTAATTATTTTTTTATATTATACCAACACTGCAACATTCAAATATTGCAAAAACCAGCAAATGCAATTAAATTTTGATGATAAACTTTTTGCTGGTTCATGTTTCAGTCAAGTTAAAATACTTCTCGCAAGAGTGTTTAAAATTTGGAAACCAAATTTTGCGCGGTGATGCAAATCATTGGCATAATTGTGTTTTTGTTTTTAATATGCGTTCAAGAAACAGTTGACAGTGGTTATACTTTGAAAATCCAAAGCGGAAGACGTATGTTGGTTTTCCGTAGAAACTTGACAGAAGTGGGAAAGAGGGAGTTGAGATTGTTCAGCGGCGGACACTCCAGCGCACAGTGCACGCATGTTCAGTGGACTTCAGTGGTGTGAAGCCTCAAATGAGGGACTCGGACGTCCGGGAATGACAGCCGCTGTCACCAGGAGTGACAGCTTTCATTCTGAGATACTCCATTGAAACTACTCCAGCCGACACTCAACACTGATCCGCAACGGATCCAGCCAGACCGGGACTATGCCAGAGATGGAGAAAGGGAGACCACCGGAAAATAAACGCAGCAGGAAACCCGCGCACCCCGTAAAGAGGGAAATCAACCAGGAGATGAAGGTGAGAGTGGGTTTGTGTGCCACTGAAAAATTATTATTATTATTATTATTATTATTGTTGTTGTTGTTATTATTATTATTATTATTATTGTAATCAGATGAGACGGGGCGATAACTTCTTTGCGCACACGTCTTCCAGCACACAGCAGCGCACAAATCAGTGCGGGGAATAATATCAAAAACTATATTTGCTTTTAATGAATGCTCGCTTTCTGTCTTTTATGTAAGCAATTATATCCTACTGCGTGAAGCTGTATTGCAAAACAAGAAAAACCTCGAAAGTTTTTATCTTTAGGAAGACAACTGGAAAATATCAATAAACGTGTTTATAAATCCAAGTTGAAACAGACCCAAAGACAGACACGGGATTTTTTTGATTATATAAATGTTAGTGCTGAAGAGTAGTCTGACCTCTGCCTTCTTGTGACGCCATGTCAGGCCAGCTGCGGCCGGACGCGCAGTCTTGTCCAGTGGAGATCCAGATGTGCGTCAATTCTTCCCCGCTCCTGCGGTGCACTCACTTGCTGTACCACAGAGGCTTGCCCCCATGAAAAAGAGACAGGGCATTTATATTCTTTAAATAGCCCTGCTCCTTGGGAAAGCTCTAAAATCACTGTCACAGACTGTTAAAGAATGCAAACATCACATTAAACGAACGCTCCCGCTTGAAGTGCTCACTGATGACATGTCATTTAAGAATCTCCCCACTGTTCTTTGAGTAGAAGGAGAGCCACTGCACAGCCAGTAATAAGTTAAATCACAGTAACAGGCACGATTCCCTCCCACTATTATGAGCCTGTTACTGCATGGAAACTAATCCATGGGTTGTCTGCTTTGTTTGGGTTTAGACACTGGATATTTGAGACTGTTGACTGTGGTGGGGTAAGGAATACTCGAGGCTTCTTCAAGCTGAAGCTGAGAAATAAAAGTTTAAAAAGTCATTTTCTTAGGGGGGTGGGGGGGATATTCTGGCCTTCGTGAGAGAGGAAATGTGCTCTTTTTGTGTAAGTGGTTTGGATTGTAGCGTTTGATATCCAGGGGAGGTGTAGAGTTACATCTTAACTAATTTTAATCAAAACATGTGAAACGCTATCCCCGCTTGATGTAAGCCTGCCTGGGCTGAATCTCAGGGTCGGCCCCAGTTTGTTGCCTTTGGCTGCAACTCTCTTTGTGGTTTGGGATATGGCTTGTCACTCTCGCAAAGCAGATGTTTGTCTAAACTGCCAAAAAGAAACAAAAACAACATTGTGGGAAGTGGAGGGGTGGGTGAAGAAAAAATATTGCCCGTCTTTTCGTTCACAAGAAGAAAAAAAAAAGAAAGAAGTGGCACTGGGTTGTTTGTGTAGATACAGTAGGAGAGTGTCCATCAGTGTCGAACTTCTGGAGAACATCAAGATATCAAAATTAGGCATGATGGGAAGCATATAAGATTCAAATTATCGGGTAAAATCCCATAAGATGTGCACCTTAAAAACTGGTCAAATGATGAAAAAGCAAGGGGGTTTGGGAGGGGGGCTGTGGAAGAAATACAGGCAGGAAGGCTGGCAAGCTGAGTTCTAGCTCAGCTGAGGTCCGTCCCAGTGTTGTCTCTGTAATACATCTGTTTCAACACCACATTCGGACCTACTCCCTCCACGTCAGACCCCGAGCACGGCACCAGAAACCGGATACTTGACTTTAATCATCGTTAGGCATATTTAGCTGGATATGATACCTCTGCTTGCACTCACCCACACACTCTCCCAGACACACACACAGCAGAAAGTGAGCAAGCGAGGGAGAGATCCATTTCTTTGAGGCCCTAGTGCAGAACAGAGGTCGGAGTGAGGAAAGCAGGGGAAAGAATGTGCAGTCAGTACTACAGCACTACAACACCACCACCACAGCAGACTGGCTGTGCTGGAAAAGGGTGAAACCTGAGAGGCCGTGCTGTGTCGGGTGTCAGGGCTGGAAGGTGCTGGGATGGAGGGGAGGATGGTGAAGATGGAAGAAAAAGAGGCAAAGGGAGGGACAGGGAAAGCTGGAGAAAGAGAGAGGGAGAGAGTGGTGGACATTGGAAAGAGAAGAAGAGAGCAGAGTGGGGCATTTCCGAGAACCGTGGGACCTGGCTGTGGTGTAGGGTGTCCCGCTCTGATTTCTGCCCATTCTGGATCAGGTTTCTCCTCCAATCCAGTTCTTCCAAAGCCACAGAGAGAGGTGGGTGGATAAAGAGAGAGACCTTTGTATTTTTTTTCATCTGGTCGTAATAAAAAAAAAAACTGAGACCACACATCCCATCTGTGGAGAAAAGTTTTCTTTCTCCGTCTTTTTTCCAATTAAAAGAGATAAACAAAGGATGATTCATAGATTTCACACTGGTGTTAGGTTTTAAACCTTTCCGTCTCAGATTTAGCAAGAGTAAACAACTTGAATACATCATGGAAAAAGTGTCATACTGTACTCCTCTGTGCCCCTATTCATTTCTCCAACCAGGCTGTGGCTGAGAAAGAATCGCTCACATTGATTCAGAGAAGGAAGGTCTGATTATGTTTAACATAGGATAAAAATGTCCATTAATAACCCATAGATGCATGCTCACAATTTCCTATTTGTAGGCAGCCATAGCTCAGTTATCCCTATGCGTAGATTATCACTAATCACTGATTTCTTTTCTCATGCAGACTTTTGCAGAAAGCACCATGAATGAACTCCTTGGATGGTACGGTTACGACAAGGTAGATCTCAGAGATTCAGAGGCCAACGAGATCAGAAACTACAGAGAACGGCGTCAGCATGTGTCTGTGCTGAAAGGTGAGGGCGGCCGTCGAGGGTTCACTATTGATGCAGTGTTCTTAAATTTATGCTAACAGGTTCTGCAGGTTGTAATGCAGACATTGAGTCACTGCACAATTTTGCTAAACATAACTTCCTGTAGTCGGAACTTCTCGAGTTTCATTCATTCAGATACATCTGTTGTTTGTGAAAAAGTTATTATAGTATCATGTAGGCCGTATTGCAGATTTGCTGCACGGTGTAACGTTACTCGACGAATTCAAGTTAACACTGGAATCTGTTTGTGTCTTGCAGAAAACTCTTTGCCAAAACCCAAAAGCCTGGACACCAAAGTCAGCCACTTGGTCCTGCCGAACAAGAGCGGAGAGAGAGAGTGCTCCGGCATCCCGTCTTCGTCACCCTCCTCTTCCTCAACAAGCTCATCCTTGACGACCCCAAAGGAGCACAAGAGTGCCCCTGTCATCGTCCCCCTTATAAAGCCATCAGCAGGTAGCAGGCTGTAGGGGCAAATATGGGGAGATTAAATGTTGATTGTTGTGCATTCCTTATACATATGCTTTTAGTATTACTACTCATGATTAGTTTGATATTCATGTGCTAGCACATCAGAGTGTAGTGTCAAGCTCCAGAAGATGGTGCAGGTTCAGTTTTTACCTACTAGACTCCTGAGCAATGATTAAGAGGCATCCCTACTAGGTGCAGTAGTTTGAGCTTGCTTTGGTGCCTCTTTCGGTAATTATATCATATATAAAATTATTATAGATAAATATATAATAATTATGTATATTAAAAATTTGATTCTTTTACAAAATAAAGAGAAATTCTGTGTGCTACAAGCTATGAAAAAGAGAGATAACCTGTAAAGTGTCCCGTGACATAAACCACGTTTGCCGCAAAGGTAATAACTGTGTAATAACAGTCTGAGATAACTCAGCATGCAATTATGGTGCAATGCAGTAAGCATTTGTAGCCTATTAAGAGTAAAGTAAGTTAAACAGAAGAACTAATGCTGCTGCACCTTTTTATACTGTGTAGACTGTGTAATTTTTCTGTTGTTCGGACTTTGTTTTTTTGAAAAACAAACACTACATATGGTAATAAATTGCGGCTTTTGCTTTTAGTTTGAAGGTTTTTGGCATCCCTGATTAACAATGCTTAAATTGTAAGTCTGTCGGTATTCTGCTGTACGATTAAAATGTACAGGAATATAAGCATAGAATGGGTTCACCCGTTATAGATGGATAAATAAATAACAGCGCTGTCATAGTGAAGGTTATAAGAGGGATGCAGCAAGATCTCTGTGTTCCCTGGAAGAATATTAATCTGAGATTTATTCAGTGTGAGGTCCATCCATACAGGAAGTTTAGATCACAGCTGGATGCGCGCTGTTTAGTGCACTCTCCTTTGTGAGACTAAAAAGCACTCAGTTGTAGCTGTTTCACACCATTCTCGTGCTTTTAAGATCATCTAACATAGCTTTTCTTCTGATTTCCCTCCTGCAGTGGAAGATGTACAAAATGTGCAGATAGTATGTGTGTGGTGCCAGAAGGAAGGTGTAAAACGCTACTCTCTGTGTATGGGATCAGAGCTCAAGAGCTTCTGCAGTGAGAAGTGTTTTGCTGCCTGCAGACGGGCCTACTTCAAACGCAATAAGGTTAGTATATATAACGTACTGCACATTATCGTTACATTTGAGGGTCAAAAACAATTCATGTTGGCCTCTTCTTGGTGAGGTGTTGTAAATCCTGGTATCTATATGATAATGAGCAATCTGTAAATTCAGTAGTCAGTCTGACACAACCATATACATTTAGGCAAACACAGGTACTCTATATGCAGTTTGCCTCAGCCCTGGCACATCCCATCACACAAAGGGAAACGGGCATCAAGTGGTTTCTGGCAGGTATACAAACTAGCAGAAACAGATACTCCTGATCTCGGGAGGTCATTACTGATGGATTCGTTTACAGAAATTTAAAAAGGGTGGATCTCTAAGAACACAATTCCTAGTGCGTATGGTTGATCCAGTTTAGGAATGGTGGGAGGGAGGTCAAAGTTTGTGTGGGACACTTAGTATCAGTTTCGCGTTAATGGAGAAGGGACCAGCCATTAAGTGGCTTTGGTCTGGAGGACAGGAGTGCTGCAACGACAGAGAAACGCTCTGATGCGCTTGCCGTGATTTTTCAGCCTCCATTACGACATGAATATACCTTCTGTAGAGGTACAGGGTGACAAGTAGCTATATCAGCTTTCACCCTCACTGTTGTTTAGAGCGTGGTGGGTGAATTCACACAACAACGGAGACACAAGGGCGGGGGGGCTGAACAGACTGCGCGCAACAAGCCCTCTAGTTTTTCGGAGGCAGGGAGGAAAGCATTTCTGTTGGCTTGTTGCTGCTTGTCTGAGAGGAAGGCCAGGAGGCCTGGGGCGAGGTGTCCACTTTCAGTGCATACCTTACCTTCAGCTGCCTCATATTTCGTAACTCAACACGACTCAATGGGTCACAGAGATGGGGGAGCACTCAGATCCACATGAGATCAGCTTACACGAATCAAGAAGAATTTCCTATATTAATACTGGCAGAACCATTAATAATACGACAATACATCACCTGCATTATTTCCCCACTTGGCTGTAGAATTGTATCTGTTTCGCAACACAGCTTTTCTTTTGTTGCACTGACCTTTAGGGCTTGGTTGTTGCATGAAGTTCAGACTAATGCTATGCTTCATGACAAGGCGATTTATTTAAAACTATATTTTGTACCTGTTACATAAGAAGCTCACATTTGGAGACCAGACACCGCAGAGTGATTCCAGTGTAGTATTTGTAGATGAACTGTTGTCTGAAACCTGACTGACAGTAGTTCATGTGATGTTTGTCACACTGTGTTTTTCCCTTGTCAGGCCAGAGATGAAGATCTCCATAGTGAGAGATCCCCTCAGCACCCCCATACAGAGGACTCGCCCAGACTGGTGCTGAAGATAAACACCAATGTCAGAGTAAGAGGACACTATCAATGCATCTTTTGTTTTCCACTGTGAGATATTAATATAAATACGCGATGAAAATGACAAGGTTTAACAAGCAGGAATAGTGGGAAAATCTTCTGTTTCTACACAAAGATCTGTTTTCACATACAATCTTTCACTCCAGTGACCCCCCACAGTCTCTCTCCCCTGTGCCACAGGTATGCGATTGGTGCAAGCATGTTCGTCACACTAAAGAGTACCTGGACTTTGGATCTGGTGAGGAGCGACTCCAGTTCTGCAGCACCAAGTGTCTGAACCAGTACAAGATGGATGTTTTCTACCGGGAAGCCCGCGCAGCTCTCACCAGCACCAGTTCCAGCCCAAACAGAACCAATCAGGAGGGGAGGATAGACAGCAATGTAGCTGGGCAAAAGCTACTCACTCCAGAATCTTGGAACAACAACAACAGTACTGGGGAAGCCCGTAATAGAAACCTCTCCCCTAAAGGGCCTGCACTAATCCGTGGATTAGGAGAATCCTCCATGTCTCCCTCAGAAGCATCCTCTTCTACTTCAAAACTCCCTGTCTCTGGTCTAAGGACCCTAGAGAGGTCCATCCAGCCTCCCCCACCTTCTTCAACTGTGGATGTGTCACCCCATCCTGCTTCCCTTCCTCCTCCACCTCTTCCTCGCCCCCCTCTGGAGCAAAAGCCAGTACCTCAAATCCCCATGCCCTTTATAAGGCCTCCCCTTCATGCTCAGGGCTTAAAAAGCCCCCTTGCCACTCCTCCCAGACATCCAGGCCCTCCTTCCAGCCCTATCCACAGAGCTCCGCACTCTCCTCACCTTCAGCCCCCTACTTCTTCATCCATGAATCCCCCTGGACTGATACACCCCTTCCCAGGAGCCTACTTTCCTGGCTTACACTCCCCTCCGCTGAATATGATGCCAAGAGGTCCTGTCCCAATGCCTCCCATGATGAACTTTGGTATTCCTTCTTTTAGCCCTCTTCTGCCCCAGCCCACTGTCCTGGTGCCTTATCCCATCATTGTACCCCTACCTGTCCCCATACCCATTCCTATCCCTATTCCAGTCCCCCCTAAAACATCCCTAGAAACTCCAAGTCACAGCGGAGTTATTCAGCCTGTGCCAGATTTGCTGGACAGGGCTCAATCCAGGTCTACCAGGCAATCTTCTCCAGAGACTTCTGAGGCAGACAGCAGACTGGTAGTCAACAAAATGGGTGGAACTTTGCCTCAGGGGCTATCCTCACCAAGTGACCTGAACACAAGGGACACAGATTGGGTTAAATCAGAGAGGCCATTTCTGTCCCCAGCATCCACACCCCAAAGTGGAGCATCCTCCCCCAGAGCCCAGTGCAACGAATCCCCCTGCTCAGCCCCGGGGTCGGACGGGATAAATGAATATAAGCAGCAGCAGACAGAGCGACAAGTCATCCAAAGGGTTCTACAAAGGACTCAAGTGAAGTTAGAGCCCAGCACCAATGGAGTGGTGGACCTATCAGGGCTGGGCGAGTCGGGAGCTGGGCAGGTTAACAGGTCAGGGATTCACAATATCATCAGACCCACACCTCCTCTGTCACCATCACCTTCACATGACACTGTCTTCCAGCACCAGGACTCCCATACTCCACCTTCTTACACCCCAGCCAGCCCCAAGGAGTTCAACCATCCACATGGTGCCACATCCTCTGCCCAAAAATCTCAGGACCATGGTCAAAATGGGATGTCTTCTTCACCAACAACTGCCACTCCGGACTCTTCCCGACCCCAGAGATTACCAGCACCGCCCCCTGACCCCTCACTTAGTGAGCTGGAGGCTATCAAAGAGAACAAGTGTTCTGTTGTTAGCCCAGTGCGGGTTGAGGGGCAAGTTAATCTGTCAGAAGAGCCCTTAACAGTAGTCCGGGACATAGGAGAGGACTCTCATGTTCCTGATGAGGACCATGCCTACGCCCTGCCCACAGCGCCAAAGATAGGTGGGACCACTGGCCCATTGCTCTTGCCCAAACTCAGGGACAAGGGTAGTCTGCGGAGCCCTGCCAATGTGCCCAGTGCAATAGACATGGAGCCAGCTCTGAAGAGGAGATGCCTAAGAATCAGAGATCAGAATAAGTAGAGGATGGAGGTAAGAGATTCTGATGTAAAGTGAGGAAAAATACAGATAGCACGGTTTTCAATGGCTTTTTTAATTTATATCTTGTAAAGACCAGAAGTCAGACTTACTGATACATCGGCAAGATAAATGTCACAGTAAACCAAGTTGACACCAACTTTTTTTTTGCATTAAACGCTCTGTGGTATTCCACATTGGTTTAAATAAAAACCAGCAATTATTTTTAAACACCATTTAACCAGGGACTGGAAAATGTGTGGACACACACATTCGCACATACAGAGGGCAAGCTTAATCACAGGTCTAACAGCATGCGCATGGTCACTAAACAGCATGGCGCCAAAGAGAGAGAATCCCAGTAACCTGGCACTCCCCAGTGCTCTAAGGTTACACCAGGGAAGGAGGTGGAGGGCACAGGCAGTGAGAGTCACTTTGAAAGGCGATCACCTCACCACAGTCTGACTGACAGTCACAATTCTTTGTTTGCATCGCAGCCTCTTCTTTAGGCTCACATTTGCCAAGTTATGTGAGTATATGTCTGTTCTCAGATGGATGGAGAAAATGACTGTGGGAGAAAGTAGAAGGTTCATTGTATCGGACAAAGATAAATGTCTGCTGCTGAATCAAATATGTGACCTTGAGGTTATGAGTTAGCTTGTCCAGAATGACATTCACACAGAGAAATAGGTCAATTCTCCGTGTGACCATAAAGTCAAACTGTTGCTCCTTGCGGCCGTAACTACAAGGCAGCGCAGACATCTTTCTGGGGTGCTGTAGAGACAGAGGTGATTGTCAGGCAGACTACAAGGCGCGGCAATTTGAGAGCGAACCCTCAGCTGTGATAGAGCTCTGGGGCTTCATTAGGAAAACACAGGGGCAGAACCAGAGCGATCCGTTTACACATGTCATAATGACACCCTGTTCTGGCTTTGGCTCGTACCTCTCATATGTAGAAGTTTCGAGTCCCCCCCCCTCTCCCTTTTCAGTCCTTTTCCTTTTCTTCACTTAGCACTGCTATCCTCTGCCAACCAGATGTTGTTGTTCGAATGCAGCAGGAAAGCCTCCTTACTTTGGACCAATCAAAGGCCCTCTTGATTTCACTTGTCACTAGTCCAAAGGGCTGTAACACCAGCCGTCATCCTCACCAGCTGGTATCTCATCATAACAAGATCATGTTACCATTTTACTGTATGTCCCGAGATTAATCCGCTGATATTACAGAGATGGTTTAAATTTCACCTGGCCTGCTTTTCTCTCCGTATTGCACTCCAAGCTTCAAAAGGTCAGGGGTCACCTTTGTAATTACGTTAAAAACGGATAGCTGTTGGTCGCGGACGCACGACATAAACCTTTATCTCATACTTCCAGATGTTTCGTGTTGAAGCACAACAAGATTTCCTTTCACTAAATGAGTTCCCACTTTACTCTGTGTCATTTGTTGTGGCTCCATGCATTGCCTTAGTAACCAATACATATGAAATCACAGTGTGCCGCTTGTGCTGTGCAGAAGGATTTATGGCCTTGTGTTGTGTGTAATGGGAGCTGGCTGTCGTATGCGAGTGACTTTAGCTCGCCACCTCTGTGCTCTGAGCTAAACATTGCTGTCCTGTTCTATTGTCTGAACTGCTAAAAGTCTTTAAAAAAAAAAAAAAAGTCTCCCACACTGACAGAGTCAGCAGCCAACTGGAGGATTTCACCTCAGGAAACAGCCAGTTTTTTTGTCTCAGTTTTCCTTGCCTTTATTTGGGATATTTTATAGCCCCGTGTAATCCGATCCCACCACATGGGTATTCGCTGAGCGTTTGAAACTAAAACGCAATGGGACAGAGGGAGTACAGAACCCTGGTTTGGCCCTTACGTGTGTGCGTGTGCATGTGTGTGTCTGTTTGTGTTTAATGTGTGTGTTTGAATGAAAGCCTGTGTAACTGTGTGTAAGAGAGGAAAAAAAGGCCAGATGTTCTTAGTTTGATTGTGCCCCGTGCAACAGTTATCTGAGTGTTGACATGACTAAAAGGTTCATTCTCAGTGTTTATATAGAAAGGGCAGATTAAGGAATGAGTGTCCAGGGTTGCAGAGGTTGATATAAGATATGGTGTAAATGGAAATTGCACAGAATAAAATATATGATATCTCACAACTTACTTTGTCTCTCTTTCTCCCTTTCCTTCTTTCTGTTTCTTGTTTTTTGTTTTTTTTTTTGTACTCCTACCCTGTCTATCTAATAAACAGACTCCCTGTTTAGCACTGTACGGCAGTGCCAGATTCAGTGCCATGCCCTCTTGTGGACAACACCAGTGCTAACACCCTCTAGCCTGTCCCTCAGCCTGTTGGCCCAGCAGAGTATTGCTCTGCCTGCAGACCAGCAGGGTGCCAACCCAGGAAGAAGTCCAGATGGCCAAGTCATCACAAGCCAACATGGGGGAAGAACACAACACAGTCACACATTTTGTCTTGGACCAAAAGGCTGTCGCTGGCTCGTGTGTGTTACATTGTGTTCAGCAAGCGCTTTAAAAGGAGCATCTCAGATCTTCTTCCTGTCTGACATTGCCCTAAAGTGTGTATGCGCGCATGAGTCAGTGTGGCAGCCCAGATGAGCTGCTCCTCCTCCTCCTCCTCCCCTCCCTGCTCCGCACAGCAGACAGGGCTCTGATCAGCCTTGTGTGGTCTTCTCAGATGGAGCCTGAACATGATCTCTTTCCAGGGGAAACGGTTTGTTTTCTCTGCCCGGCTTGCACAAAGAGCTGCATTGTTCCTCTCCCCATATCCCACGCTGACTCCCCACTCCAGGTTTTGGGTTACCTGGCCGACGGGGGCTCAGACTTCATCAGCTTTTTTATTTTTTTGACCGACAGCCAGGAATATAGTATACCCTTCTCTCCTCCACCTTTCCGCCCAATCTAAATACGGTACGCACCAGTTCTGAGGTTTTATCCCTCACAAGTGATTGCCTGTGATTCCCTACTCAGCTCACTTCCTCCAAGGGAAGAAAGACAGTCTGCTGACATTAAGACTTCATCCAGTTTACTCACTGACGAGAGTCCGGCCGGGCTGTTGAGACAGATGATGGAGCAGCCTAACAACCCCAGGGGAGAGTCTCCTCCCCCTCCTCTTAAACAATGTAAACTTAAACTGAATATATGAGGGTACACCTACTGATACATAGTAGCTGAGATGGTCTGTGAACACTTTAGACGTCTTGATGACGCTGGTACATAAATGTGTAACGTACAGATCCTCATTCAATATTCACCTGATCTACCAAGTCTCTCATGGCAAATCAGAGTTTGAATCACTTTCAGCACCGAATGCCATGCATGTTTCGTCCCTACCATTCATGAATGAATGATCCTAATTCTGATTTTCTTGTGGATGATACTGGTTTTGATCAGCCGTTTCTGAAGAGGAAAGCAACATTGTAATATTACCAAATGTGGTATTATACCCAAAGGCATCAAATGCTGTAGTATGCAGCAATCAGTATTACAGTTCCCGCTATCAGGGATACCTATTGAGATTTGATCCAGCTAGATCACTTAGCAGCTTGTCAACACTTGTTCCTTTGCAAGATTTCAGTTTTGTAGTCGACACAGATACTATTTGATGTTATATTAACTTATGGATGAAGCATCTGTAGATTTTCACAAAAATGCTTTATTTCTTTTTTTTGTTTGTTTGTTTGTTTGTTTTGTTCTTTTTCTTTGATGATTTTCATTTTATGAGTGCCTGAACTCTCAAACGCCTCTTGTCTATATGTTAATATGCTGTAGCCCCACTAGAGGGCATTGTTTGCCTTTGTAACTTTGCACCTGAGCAGAAAGAACCAGGAGGCCATAAGACAGTCTGCTGAAACCCAATGCAATCTCTGCAAACAGCTGCACTCAGTGCCATCAGACTGATATGACTGATAAGCCAAGCAGACGGCTTTTCCTTTACATCTCGCCATTATTTTATCTTTAAATTCAAATATTGCCATTTGCCACACTCACAGCAGTGTCAAACCAAGGGTGCAGTCAGCTGCATTTCAACGCCTTTTAGTGAACAGTTCAGCACTCCCCTGGGTTAAACTAAGCAGTCCCTTTGACCTGCTTGATGCTAGAATAACGCCAGATGTGGCCCACCCCAGCCATCATTCCAAAATCACTTACCTATCCGTTTGTGGGCATGCGTGTGTGCATGCACGGATATGTGGCAACACATTTCACCGTCTCCTCACTCATTCCAGCCCACTTCCCCCACCACAGATCATGCCTTTAAGTCGGTGTCATTCTTGGCTGGTAAGGGGACTTTCTCATCAGCTTGTATGGCGCAGTGATGACATCACTTCATACAAATAGCTGCAGTGTCAACAGGAGATCTCTGACTCTGACGGCAGAGGCCAAAAAGTAAACAATTCAAACTGCCATCATTAGTTTCACCATGTTTAATCAATGCCTTTCCTCACCTCACCCAGTATCTGTGTCACCTCAGAGTTTTGACAGAAAACCCGTTTTACCAGAAGTTTGGTTGCTTCTTGCTTCACCCAGAGGTACTTTCTGACCTTCCCTGTCAAACTCACTATCTGACAAAATGTTTGTATTCAAATAAAGATTAAATAAGAGCATTGGTGAAGACCTCTTTGTAAAGTGAAATAAATAAAAGTTATTCTAAGATCAAAGAAACTTCTGCTGTTTTTTTATTTATTTATTTAAGTTTTTATTTTAAAAAATGTTGGGGTTTTTTTTCTTTTTTTGTGAGGCATGTTGGTTTTGTAATTATTAAAATTGTCATACAGCTTTATAAACCGTCTGCTTACAGGTTCTGGTCAGTAAATGCCTATTTTTAGTAGAAGCCTATCTGAAAGGCAACGCATCAACATTCCAGAAATAGTGGAAGTCGACCATCTTTGCACTGACGGTAAATCAGATGAATGAGATAAGAGAACAGGAATTCCGGCTTTGTGTGGACCTACTGGGAGCAGTGACTGGACGATTCTGGGAGGGCAGAGCAGGGGGTGGGGGTAACTTCCAGGTTTTCAAGTTAGGGATTGAAACTGCAGGACGGAAGTTTTCCACAATAATAACAGGGCAGGGGGTATGTGCGGGACTTGCTTGCAGGAAGTCACCCACAATTAGACAGCACAAACCGGATGTAAAAACTATCCTATAAAATAAAAGCATTAAACAACCGAAAAAAAAAACCGCTAGAAAATAATAATCATCATCATCATCATCATCACCATCATCATTATTTTTATTATTATTATTAGTGATATTAGTAGTGGTAGTATTAACTTTATTCAATCAAGTTAAAATGATATTAATAGAAATGTTATAGAAACTGTTCTAAATGACCTTGAGAGGTTATTTAGGTTATTTATGAAAGATGATTTATCATTCACTTGTTTTACTGTCCATATGTATGGACAAAAAAGATTTGCAAGGTTTGGAAAAAGAAAATTTCATAATGATTGATATCTTCCCAGATTTTTATAATTTATTTAGTCTTATTTAAGTCTTCGCCTTAAGATTTACGCAGTTTCTCACGACTTTTATGTTGACAGTTGCAACCGGAAGTCAAACTTGTGTTCTCCTTACTTGACTAATCTTTTTTACAGGTTGAGCATGTTGGGTCGACTGATTTAGTTTTACCTGCCTGCCTGATAGCAAGACGACACTTATCTGATAGTGAAGTACCTCGACACACCCGCTTGGTTTTCACTTGCGTGTGTGTCTGTGTGACCATTAATGAAAACTGGGCGAGACGTATTGTTTGGGCCTTGGATAAATAATTAACCAGACAACTCAAGCCGCAGTTTCAAGTGCTGACATGAGGAGTTGACGCAAAGCAAGAGCGGAGTGCGCCTCTATCGCCAGCCTGTTACCTGAGCGAAAACAACAGGCTCGCAGGTGTTTTTGTTTGTTTTGTATTTTTCTTTATATTTTTAATGCCATTTGAACTGGATACACTTCATTGTAATAATGCTGGGAGCGGAGAGCAGATTGGAAAGCCGGCTGAAGAAGCTGGAGTCCCTGATAAGGAATCCACAGTCGGCACTAAACTTGGCAACCCTGCTGGTGAGTGTACATTCACCCTGAAGCTCTAATACAAGTATAGTCTTCAGACTGAGAGATAGGGAGTGAGTTAGACACATATTTGTGAGTAATTAGTCTGTCAGTCATCTGAGAAAAAAGTTTTTAGAGGAAGGTCTTACCGTAAAAAAATAAAAAAAAACAAAAAACAACTGAAAGCTGAAAAAGTGAAATTGTAGACCTGTAGCCTTAATCACGCAGAAAATGATAAGAACTCAGGTTAAGCTAATCATACTCCTTTGGCCTTTAATCAGACATTTACTGTAGCAGAGGGAAGCCCCACCTTTCCTGTATGGAATGCCATACACTCCTCCCTAAAGAGAATTATTCAATGGAAAATGCTGCATAGTAATAATTAGATGTGATAGTTTTCCAACTCACTGAAGCTGGAAGTCATTCAAATGAGTGAATAAAGTTCCAATGAAACTTACAATCTGATCAGCTATGAACTACATTCACTCCTCCCTTTCCCTCACTCAATCAATGCCTGTCTGACTGGGATTACCTGTTCAGGGGTCTGGTGTGGTGGCCTGCACTGAGAACATATTCAGCTCAGCTGCTCACACTCCTCAAACCTCAATCTTTGAGAATAAATTCAGGATCTCACAGCTGGCTGTCTGTAGTTTTTCATTTCTATGTAGTGCTGATCCTATGGCACAATCCAGTTTAAAATAGGCTTAATATTTTCATCTTGACAACCCACAGATAGCTTTGAGAACATGTCTAGCCTGGATCAACTTTTGTAAGCTGTTTGTAAGTTATTCATTAGCTTCACACACATTTAATATTGACAGAACACCATAATCCACGGCTTATATTCATAGTCTTTTAGTGACATTTGGAGCATTAAAACATATAAATCATGCTGAGGGATTTATATATATTTTTTTAAATCTGTCCAAACAAATGTGACAGTTGCACCAGATTTCATGCCGTATGCACCTGCTGCCTAAACAAAGCAGCCCTTTGGTCCATGTCAATTCCCAGTGCTGAATCATGATCCAAAAGTACAATCTCCCTCAGATGTACAACAACAGACCCAGGTTACATCACTCTGTGACATAATCAGGCCAAAAAAATGATGAGAATTAATTTTAGCCCGTGTCAGTCATCACTCCAAAGTTCACTAGTAGTCATGTTTGATTTTTATCACTGTGCTCCATGGCCATCATGCTGCTTAAAATGCAGGGAGCTACCACACAGGAAGCTGAAGTCACTTCCTGGAATTAACCTGCTGTGCCCTCATGTCACCATTTCCTGTTTGTCCACTGTTATTTTTCGTATATATACGTTTTTTTCTTTTCTTTAGTACAATACAAATTTAGACTTCTAATAGAATAACCTGTTGTCTTTTATTTTTGTGTTAATGCTTTTGCTGGGTTATTGATGGCCAGTAAAGGGAAAACCTAAACCCCAGAGAAAAGGTTTGAATGTTTGAGGTCTATGGAATGCTTTGAAATCCTAATGAGTTCACAGTAACTGAACAAAATAATGTGGTTGAGTCGCAGATCATTATAATCGAGAACGATGCACTTCAGTCGGTAAATTAATGTTAGCTGTTGCGCAGTGTCATGGCATTCTGTGTCAATTAACTGAGCAATTAATTGTGCAAGTTGTGAGAGAAAAACTCCTTAATACTTATGTGGATACTCCTTATCCACATAAGGATTTAAGACATGAGAATATTTTTTGACAAACAAGTATAAATGGAAAAACAAATCATGTATAATTAGTCCAGTCAGCTACACCTGGGCACCATATTTATCACAGAAATATCACAAACAATAAAACTTAAAGAGGACTCGTTACTGTTTTTTTTTCTGTCAATATATCAATAGTGGATGGTCATATTAAATATAGGCAATGTTTCAGACTGCTCTACACACTCCGTTCTAGACTGTTCATTTCCATTTATTAGATCTATTGGTTCCTGTCAGAGAGAGCTGATATCCCTAGTATGGTCATCTCAGATACAATATGCTCCCTCTGGCTGGTAGTGCATGAACCCTTCCCATGTGCTGCTAAAGCCTTCTGTTTGTGAGGCGGCAGCCAATCAGAAAAAAGTCATCTCGAAGGAAAAGGAGCTAAACGGGTCGATTTAGACAGGATGAACTGATGGGCTATAACAAGGTTCAGTATAGAGTGAATAAGGGTTATTTTTAACCGTGAATCATGCAGAGTGAATTGTAGTGCTGTTCAAAGCTAAAAGTTTGGTCCCCTTTAAAGAGCCCCTCGGGGAGTGCAAAAATAATAATTGCAAATCAGCTACTAAATATACAAAGCATAAACAGGATTGTCTTGTATGTTTTGGAAACGTCTATTGAAACGACTGCCACAAAGTTCCTGCCAGACTGTTTTTGTGCTGATGCTCAAACCAGAGGAGTTTCTGAACCCTGCAGTTATTGACCTTTATGTAGTTTTGCTTTATGCGCTCGACCGCCCTGTTCAACTCTGTTTACTTCCTCGCCGAGTTGCTGTGGTCCTCGATACCATACTTCCGCTTTGCGATAATACCACTTACAGCTAAAAACAAACAGACCTAGTTGGACAATGGCATCCCATTACAGTACCATGCTCAAATTCACTGGGCTGTTTAGAACGATCCGTTCTTTCACAAATGTTTGTAAAGGTAGCCTGCATGGCTAGGTGCTCGATTTTATACACCTGTGGTAATGGGACGGAAACACCTGAATTCAAATGTGAAGAGGCGTGGCCCTACACTTTTGCCCATATAATGTGTCATTGGTCAATTTATGGCACAATTGTGGAAGCCATAAACGCAATTTTTAGTTTCTCATCAGCATATTTACATATCACATACTTATTTTCATGGTAAATGGCCTGTATTTGTATAGCGCTTTACTAGTCCCTAAGGACCCCAAAGCGCTTTACACATCCAGTCACCCACCCATTCACACAC